CTCACTGCAAGCTCCGCCTCCCGGGTTTACGCCATTCTCCTGCCTCAGCCTCCCGAGTAGCTGGGACTACAGGCGCCTGCCACCTCGCCCGGCTAAGTTTTTGTATTTTTAGTAAAGACCGGGTTTCACTGTGTTAGCCAGGATAGTCTCGATCTCCTGACCTCGTGATCCGCCCGTCTCGGCCTCCCAAAGTGCTGGGATTACAGGCTTGAGCCACCGCGCCCGGCCGATTAGGGACGATTTTATAGGAAGTCAGTATTTGAGTTGACACTTGGAAGTTGAGAAGGATCTTCCAGGCAGATAAAGGAAAAATAAGGGAGGGGGAGAAGCATGTAAGGCATAGAGATGTGATAGCACTTTGTGGATTTGGAAAACATCCAGAGAACCAACAGATTTGGTGACAAAATCCTTATGGTAGACAAGGGAAGAACTGAAAATGGTTCCCAGAATTTGGTCTGAGGGACTGAGTAGTGATCATTGTTATTTACTTTAATAGGAGACACAGGAGGCAGAGCAGATGTGATGGCAGAAGACTTTTGGTCTTAGGGAGGTTCATCCTGAGATATCTGTGGGATGGGCAAGCAAATATGAGTCTGGATATAAGGAGAAAGGCATGGAATATGGAGTTGAGAGTCATCACCAAGGGCTGGTGATGGCCTTAGCTGGTGCCATGGGCTTTCTGAGATCACCCAGGAATGAGAGGAAGAGGAATGGAACAGTGGACTAGTCTAAGGCTACCCCTGGGGAAGAGTGAAGGGCTAAGTGGAAGAGAAATTCACAACCAAGATACAAAGTTCTCAGCAGATTTTTCCTGAATTGCTAGAATCAAGCAGGAGAGAGCTGGGGTTCTTCACCAATGTTCTATGGTGCTACAGTCCTCATTTCATTCTCAAACCGTCCAAATACAAAATGCTTTGCAGGTAACTCATGCCCTTTGAGTTTCCTCACTCGAGAAACACTTAAAAAGCGGGGAGGGGCCCCATACAACGACAGGATTTTTATCAAGGTCTCCTGGACTGTTCACTTCAGCAGCCATGTTCTCTGACAAACCTATACGGTGAATTACACAGTCTGGATTACTTTTAGATCTGTTTCACTAAGATGAGGCATACTACTTTTAATATCATCCATCACCAAAATATTTGAATCTAGTTTTGGAAAATCTGTGTCTCCACTGACGTGTAAATATTTGCCCAGTTAAGTTTGTTATACAGTTTTCAACAGTTAGCATCTTGTTAGGACAGATACCCAATGAAGGTAATGGCAGCGGTGTGACTGATTTTTTTTTTTTTTTTTTTTTGAGACAGAGTTTCACTCTTGTTGTCCAGGCTGGAGTGCAATGGCGTGATCTTGGCTCACTGCAACCTCCACCTCCCAGGTTCTAATGATTCTCCTGCCTCAGTCTCCCGAGTAGCTGGGATTACAGGCACCTGCCACAACGCCTGGCTAATGTTTTGTATTTTTAGTAGAGATGGGGTTTCACCATGCTGGTCAGGTTGGTTTCGAACTCCTGATCTCAGGTGATCCACCCGCCTCGGCCTCCCAAAGTGCTGGGATTACAGGTGTGAGCCACCGCGGGTGATTGATTTTAAAGTGTGGCTGCCACCAAGTGGTCATACTTGAGAAGTGCTGGTTTCTGTTAGCACATAAGACTGTGGGATCATTTCAAAAGAGAAAAACAAGTTTATATATGGGTATATAGTGTTGGGCCCTCTAGGTTAACTGAATGAGGGGACTGAATGGTTTAAAAATATCCTCACTACCACCAAATGCTTTTCAAGGGAGATTTTTCTGTCAGTCTCTGTAAACACACTTTGGTCAATGTCAAGTGCATATAAATGTTAGGTATTATTACAGCTATGCTACAATTTGGAGTATTGGTGATATATTAACAGCAGCCTGGAAAAACAGATTTAACTTTCCTTTAGATATTTTCCACTTAAGTTCCTGAGCTGGGATTAGCTCTTCACCTTCCACATGGCTCTTTCTGCTTAATCACCCCCACCTTTACCTTGCCTTGTAGACAGAGACCATCCAACAGAAACAGATAGAATGAGTGTTAGGTGAGGGTGGCAGTAACAACAGAGCACATTTGGGTTTGGTGGGATGGGCTGAAGAGTGCTTATCCTTTGGAAAACTAGACACTGGTAGACTTCGAAGGCTAACTTGAGGTTTGGCCCTCATAATCCTGACCATCATCCCCAAGTATTAAAATGAAGGTCACACTCATTACTCACTAGACACCACAAACACATCTCTGGGGCTTCAGTTTCCCTGCCTGTAAAACCGGGACAGTGATCCTCTGTCTAGCCCATGATGGCAGGCAGACCACCATCTTGCCTGTCCCTGATTGTGACTCACCTTCAAGCTTCTTCTTTTGACTGACTGGAGCACACGCCGGTTAGGGGGGTGCTTCTTGTGGATTCGGTTCAGGAAGTCCACTTTGACAACATGCTGCGAAATGGTGTCCTGGAAACGATCAAACACCTGGCACCGATTGCTCAGTGTCATATTCTTCTGGTTCAGCTAGGGACAAAGCAGACACAACCCTGTGGTGAGCCTCAAAAGGCACCTCCTGTCCCAGTTAACCCCATTCCCTGTGTTTAAAAACTAGAAGCCCTTGGCCACATGGGTTCCCTCAATTAGAGACCAGGATGTCGGCACTCTTGTCAGAGAGCAAGGGAACATGGACGAGACTTCCTACTCAGCCCTGCTCAGTCCAGTGGAAGAAAGCCAGTATGTTCCCGCTCCCTAGAGAGCCTTAAGGAAGGCAGGAGAAATCAAGCAAGAAGTGCCCTTCCAAATTCAGCCTCTGACAGTCTTCTGTTCCAGCTCAGAGAAGCCTTTGCAGGGTCCTCTAATAGCAGCACAGGTTTCAGAGGAGACATATGCTTTGACCTTTAAGAGACCCAGACTCCCTTCCCAGCAAGGGCCTCTCTCACAGGAAAAGCAGGACTGTGTTCTACATAGGAGCTTGGCTGACAACTGGGTCAGAACCAGAACTCTGTGTGCTCTGCTCTATTCCTACTCCACGGTACCAAGGAGCGTAAGTTAACCCATCTTGGTATCAGTCTTCCTCTACTGGAAAGGAAAACCTTGGATTGCTCTTAGAGGCCAAAGGGAGAAAAGAAAGAAGAGTTTCTGCAATAATATACAGAAGGCATACCGAAATTATGCCACTTTTCCTCTTCTACATCTGGGCCCCTACATTTTAATTCAAAAGAAAGGACCTGTTGTGGCAGCTTCCTAATTCATAAATCAGGAAATACCTTTAAGTGGCTAGTAAAAATGTAACCAACTAAGAAATTGTCAACTGCTAGAAAGCTGCTCTTTAAGTTTCATATTTGGGTAAACTGCTTATGGTCATTTTTTTTTCTGGTTCATCAGGAAGCAAAACAAGACTAGGAGAGATACAAGGAAGCAAAACAAGACTAGATTTTCCTCCAGAAAAATTTTTGAGTAGCATGAGTCAAAAGAACACAAAGTAACTCTTCTCTTCCACGTGTGCAAATCTTTAACGTGTGCAAATCTTTAACCGAGGTTCCTCTCAGTGTAAGGTCAGCAGCACATTGCCATGAAGGCCAACGGTCATTCCATGGTTATCATCATTTGACAGACAATGTCTTAAGCAGTAGCCCTTTTAATCTGGAAGGTTGCTCTTATGAGGGAGGTCCTCCTCCTCAAATCCTCTCCCATTCAATCTTGTAAGTGACTGTTCTAACTGCCTGTAAAAAGATGTCCTAAACTTCTTTTGGAGATAGCAAGTGACAGTTCCGTTCTAGCCTCAGTCTGGAAAATAAACCCAAGACTCTTGGAAGATAAAGCAATAGGAACCTTCACACCATTATTCATTCAACAGCTTATTTACTGAACTTCATTTGGTGCCTGGGACACACATACTCCAGACAGCCAACGATTTATTTCCTTAAGGTTGGATCTAATATACTCCCCTTTTAGGGCTGTAACATCAACTGCTTAATTCTCTGTAGGAGAAGTCACTTACAAACATCAAAGCACTAGTGAGTAAAGTCTGTGTGGGTAGCCGAAACAAAACATTGTGAGAAAAAGCATAGCTGAAATATGTCAAATATTTGGTAAATATGTGGTAAACTTGGCACCAAGCTGACCTTAATATGCTTTCTACTAATCAGTCCACGCTCCAGCTATGCCTGTTGATGACTGAATGGACACTGCTGTGCTTACCACTACATGTTCGATGTGATTTGGACACATCCATCTGCCCAGGGGCATGGCAGTGAGCGGCGGCTCGAGGCAGTCCATGTGAAACAGAAGAGGGCAATAGTCACACTGGATGAGAGGAGCCACGCGGCAACTCCTGCAAAAAAGAGATGTAGGCCATTTCTGTGGCAAGAAAAGGAAAATTCAAACTAACTCTTGACCTATGGAACAGCCTCCCCTTCTTAATCCTAACATTCTCCCACATCTTCCTCCAGTGATTCAGTTACACTCATGATTAGAAAGATGGATGGGGCTGGCACGATGGCTCACGCCTGTAATCCCCGCACTTTGGGAGGCCGAGGTGGACGGATCGCCTGAGGTCAGGAGATCAAGACTAGCCTGACCAACACGGGAAACCCTGTCTCTACTAAAAATACAAAAAATTAGCCGGGTGTGGTGGTGGGCGCCTGTAATCCCAGCTACTCGGGAGACTGAGGCAGGAGAATCGCTTGAACCCAGGAGGCCAGAGGTTGCATGCAGCAAGCCAAGATGGCACCACTGCGCTCCAGCCTGGGTTACAAAGCGAAACTCTATCTTAAAAAAAAAAAAAAAAAAAAAAAAACAGATGGATGGATTTGGGGGCTCCCATTAGGTTCTCCATTATTCTCTTTTCTAAGAATAATGTGTCTTGTGGGAAAGTGAATGTTTAGTTGGAGTACAGCTAAAGTGGCTGTCAGAGCAGGGATGATCAATGTTCAGTACTCACTAGGGAAAAACAGTGAACTCTGCTCTGATCTCCCTACTTCTTAAAAGAGAGAGGCTACTTCATTAAAAAATCACTAGCAACCTTTCTGGAGTCTTAACTATAGCAAGAAAATATTTATCTTCTGTATGAAGCACTCAGCAGAACTGACAATTAGAGGTGTGCTGGAAAGATGATTTTGTAATGTATTCATGTAAGCAGGGTTCAAGGGAGGAGGACTAAGCAAATGACAACTACGATTTGTAACTACAATACTTCTGGGGTCCCCAAGATGCACTGGAGCCACAGTTTGTCCTGGCTCAGAGTTCTGCCACTCTACTATCTAGTTCCCTTTCCCTATAGCTTTTGCTGTGAAATACTTCTTTTTATAGTTACGTTCTCTTACTGCTCTGCTCTGACCATAATACAGTACTTCTAACACACCTAAGCCAACAAGTCCAGCTTCAGTAACTGAAACAGCTGGTTTCTGTCAAAGAGATCCTATTTGAAGGAAACCTGTGTCCCAGACACTACAACTGGGGCAGCCCTAGGGGCTTTTGGAAGTTATCCAGTCCAATATACACTATCATAGATCCTTATACTACTTTTAAACTTATCTTAAGTGATTCCAGTTAATGTTTAGTTTAAGTCCAACTCCTCTCGTTCTAGTGTCTAAACACAGTTTTTTTGAGATAGAGTCTTGCTCTGTCACCAGCCTAGAGTGCAGTGGCGTGCAACCTCAGCTCACTGCAACCTCCGCTTCCCAGGTTCAAGTGATTCTCCTGCCTCAGCCTCTGGAGTAGCTGGGACTACAGGCGCATACCACCACGCCGAGCTAATTTTTGTATTTTTAGTAAAGATGGAATTTCACCACGTTGGCCAGGATGGTTTTCATCTCCTGACCTCGTGATCTGCCCGCCTCGGCCTCCCAAAGTGCTAGGATTACAGGCGTAAACCACCACGCCAGGCCATTGTTTTTGTTTTTAAAATACAGGGTCTTGCTCTGTTGTCCAGGCTGGAGTGCAGTGGCATGATCACAGTTTAGCCTCCAGGGCTAATCTGCTTAAGCCTCCTGAGTAGCTGGGACTACAGGTGCATATCACCATAGCTGGCTCATTAAAACATTTTTTTTTTTGTAGAGACATGGTTTCACTGTGTTGCCCAGGCTGGTCTCAAGCTCCCAGGTTCAAACAATCTGACTGCCTTGGCCTCCCAAATTGCTGAGATTACAGGCATGAGCCACCGTGCTCAGCCTCAACACAGTTCACAGTACTCTTATACTGTGATTCTTCAGAAAATATGTTGTTAACACATACACATTAATGGCTCTCATCAGTCCATTAGTCAGTCTCTGTTTACTCATACCATCAGAATATGGGCTGTTCCCATTTAACATACCTGGTCTGGAAGAGGTGATGACAGAAAAAGTATCATTTGCTAAACATGAGAAAGAGCCCCTTAGTATGAAAGAAAATACCTGTTACACGTGAAGCAGACTTTGACCGGTAAGGGAACAAGACCATTGTGATCTAATTCATGCTGTGTCTTCTTAACATTTTTCCCTGTTGTTTCCTCCTTTCTTCTCCTCTTGCTAGAACCTAGAAAAGAAAGTGATGGTGCTGAGCTATCCCTGGCTTCCGAGTTCCTAGCCTGCAATATGGAAACAACATAAGGGAAAAAACAGATCTTAAGCATGTGCCATGACCTAGGCATGGATTTCTCTCTAAGGCCCCTGGGGTTGATTTTAAGTTAGAAAAAAGAATGAGAAAGGAAGAAAAAAAAGAGACTAATACATAAGTCAGAATCAGAAGTCATCTGTTCTATGGCAGAAACACATCTAACTGTTTTGCAAACATAAAATGGTCAGAAATGCTAGATTAGATACTGGCAACCTAAGAAATGTAAATGTCCAAGTCATGTAGTCAACAAGGACTATTCTGTGGAGTTGGCCTGCAACCTTGAACTACTGGGCTCAAGTAACCTTCCTGCCTTAGCCTCCATATTAGCCAGGACTACAAGTGTGGGCCACCAAACTCAGCTAACTTTTTTATTTTTATTTTTTGAGAGACAGGGTCTCATCATGTTGCTCAGACTGGTCTCCAATTCCTGGCCTCAAGTGATCTTCCTGTCTCGATCTCTCAAAGTACCAAGATTACAGGTGTGAGCCACCACACCTGGCCCACATTTTCATAAAAATCAGAGAAGCTTTGATTCCATATGCATTCTTCTTCAGTCTACCAATTTCACTTTCTCTGGGAGGAAAAAGTAAGACGTAGAAGCTTTACGGTATCAAGAAGCCAGGACTTAAAAAAAAAAGAAAAAAGAATGGAGGACAATTTGGCAATATCTATCAAAACTATAAATGCATAGTTTTGACCCAGCAATTTTATTGTCCTATAGATATAGTTACACATCTATACATGTATACAATGATGTATTTACAAAGTTATTCACTGAAGCACTACCAGTAGTAACAAAAGATTTGGAACCTAAATGTCCATTAATAGAAAATTGGTTAAATAAATTATGACGTATCTGTATAATGAACTACTATGAAACCATTAAAAAAAGTGAGAAGGCAGGTGCAGTGGCTCATGCCTATAATCCCAGCACTTTGGGAGCCTCCGAGGCAGGAGGATCGTGTGAGCACAGTTCGAGACCAGCCCTGGCAACATAGTGAGACCCTGTCTCTATAAAAAATATAAAAATTAGCTGGGTGTGGTGGTGTGCAACTGTGGTCCCAGCTACTTGGGAGGCTGAGGTGGGAGGATTGCTTGAGCTGTGGTCACACCACTGCACCACAGTGCAGTGCAGCCTGGGTGACAGAGCAAGACTGTTTCAAAAAAAAAAAAAAAAATCTATATTAATATAAAAAGACTTCTAGAAAATATTTTAAAGTGAAAACAACAACAAAAAAAGCAAGGTGTAGAAGGGGTTACCTAGTATGTTACTTAAGGGGAAATTAATCAGCATATATCTGTATTTGCTTTTACATGCACAAAGAAATTTGAGAAGAATCAACCAGTGGTTACCTGTGAAGAGCAGGAAGGTGGAAAGTAGGCAAATGGCAGATGGGTGGGAGGGAAATTTTCATTGTAGCCCTTAATATTTTTTGATTTTTGAACCATGTGAATGTATAATATCTATCTATCTATCTATCTATCTATCTATCTATCTATCTATCTATCTATATCTATCTATATTTTTAAAGATAATTCTGGGGCCGGGTGTGGTGACTCACACCTGTAATCCCAGCACTTTGGGAGGTCGAGGTGGGCGGATCACCTGAGGTCAGGAGTTCAAGACCAGCCTGACCAACATGGTGAAATCCTGTCTCTATTAAAAATACAAAAATTAGCTGGGTGTGGTGGCATGCGCCTGTAGTCCCAGCTACTTGGGAGGCTGAGGCACGAGAATTGCTTGAACCTGGGAGGCGGAGGTTGCAGTGAACTGAGATCGCACCACTGCACTCCAGCCTGAGTGACAAAGTGAGCCTCTTTCTCCAAAAAAAAAAAAAAAAAAAAAAAAAAAAAGGAAAAAGGTAATTATGGGGGTGGGGCGGTGGGAAAGGAGTTCAGAAACTGAGAAAATGGAAAACTGAGTAAGCTCTGTAATGGCTAAGACCTTCAAAGATCTCTCCAAGCAGAACCAGGAACAGGAACCCAAGACAGTAGCTACATGAACAGTGACTCCACAGGCAGCACTGCTTTTGTGCTGGTCCTTTGGGGAAACTGGGGTTGGGGAGGGATATGATGATGGTTTGGCTGACCTGGTAGTGCAGTGGTACAAGTCAGTTCATTGGGCAACTGAAATTGGGTGGGGTTCCGCTCCATGGCGGCAGCAATCAGCAGCTCAAAGGGCCGCCTCAGCTGGGGCTGCACATAGTCTGGCTCCGCTGCTACTGGTTCCTCATCCACGTCAATAATGTCTTCATCGACATCATTCTGCTCAGAGGTGGGGGTCTCTGTGCTGGCATTGGATGTGGGCGTGCCAGGCCTGCTGGCTCTCCTTTCCAGGATCCGAGCATGGGCAATGGCCTTTAGTTCAGTTTTGCTGGTCGATCTGTCCAACAAGTCAGTGTCACTGCTGGGGGATGTAGTCCGTTTGCCAGATTTGTCCACCAGTCCATTGACATGACCCAGCTCCTTTTTCTGCTCTCGTTTCTGTGCAAATGAACAGGTGGGCCCATCATGAAAAGTACCATGAAACAAAGAGATGGGTGCTACAAAGTCCTGGTAGACCACTAACCAAAATTGTAAAAGGCCTTCACATATCACAGACTCATCTACCTGGTGACTTGGAACACTGGTCTGTTAAAGTTGACACAACTATAATTGAACTAAAGCTGATAAAACTGTTGCATCAGAGAATCACCAAAAAGCATGGAAAGTTAGGAATAACTATACAAAATATATATCATTAACACTAACTCATCATATGACATACAACATCTATAAAGTATAGGGTAAAGGGCTAAAAAGGTAACACAGTGAGAATAAATTTAGTGAGACTAATAGTAAAAATCAATGGGCCAGGCACGGTGGCTCATGTCTGTAATCCCAGCACTTTGGGAGGCTGAGGCAGGCAGATAACCTGGGGTTAGGAGTTCAAGACCAGCCTGGCCAACATGGTGAAACCCCATCTCTACTAAAAACACAAAAATCATTTGGGTGTGGTGGCACACGCCTGTAATCCCAGCTACTCAGGAGGCTGAGGCAGGAGCATCGCTTGAACCTGGGAGGAAGAGGTTGCAGTGAGCTGAGATTGCACCACTGCACTCCAGCTTGGGCAACAGAGCAAGATCCCATCTCAAAAAAAAAAAAAAAAAATCAATGAGATCACTATACAGCCTCCTGACCTCCTGAATGGTTTTAAAAACTTTGCTCAAAGTAAGTGACACTTATTAGAAAGTGGGGAAATGGAAAAAGATTAAGTGTACTCAGTAGGACTGGATATCTATCTGATAGAACATTTTCCTCCAGGACTCCAAATAGAGTAGTCAAATGAAGGTTTAACACTGATCTCCAGGTAGGAGACCTGTGATCTTGTCCTACTTCTGCCACTGATTCCCTCTGACCTTGTGGTGACTCATGCTGGTGGGCAAGAATTTCTTCATCTGTAAAATGAGACAGAAAAATCTTTCTTTTCCTCTCAGGGATATGGTGGAGGGAGATAAAAAGGGTCATATATATGAAAGGGATAATTTGGAGTTGGAGCAGGACCTAGTGCTTCCACTACGAATCATGATAGGACCTGAATGTCAGGAGCTAATGAAGGCCAGAGGATATATTATTTCAGTTCACTTCAGTGTAAATACAGGAGGCCAAAGGGGAGTAGTGCTGGTGATGGTGGAAAAGGCAGACTTGGCACTGGTAGGCAAAGAGGTCCATGTGAAAGGTAAGAGGCATCTTAGGAGAAGTGCCCTGTTAGAAAAGGGCATCCTATAACCCCCAACAAGTAGCTCTGCTCCTAGAAAACTGATGAAGACGTAATAGAGGTTCGGAATGAGAGAATTTGGTTCAAATATTGGTTCTGTCAATTCCTTTGAGTCCTTGGGAAAGTTAATCTACATTTTTGAGCCTCCGTTTCTTCCTTTCTAAAATGGAAATCTACTGCCAGCATTCGGTATCCATCTATGGCTGGATGGATAGATAATGGGATAACATGGCCGGGTGTGGTGGCTCATGCCTGTAATTCCAGCACTTTGGGAGGTCAAGGCAGGCGGATCACCTGAAGGCAGGAGTTTGAGACCAGCCTGGCCAACATGGTGAAACCCTGTCTCTACTAAAAGTACGAAAATTAGCTGGGTGTGATGGTGAGTGCCTGTAATTTCAGCTACTCAGGAGGCTGAGGCAGGAGAAAAGCTTGAACCCGGGAGGGGGAGGTTGTAGTGAGCCCAGGTCGCACCACTGTACTCCAGCCTGGTGACAGAATGACATTCTGCCTCCAAAAAAAAAAAAAAAAAGTCACAGAAATAATGGGATAACATAATTAAAACACCTGGCATACAAACTAACATAGTATTTCCTTTTCTCCACCCTCTTTACCTCTTTTCCTTCAGCTCCCCTAAACCTTTTCAGGTCCAGCTTTTTTGAGTGGCAAGTTTGAGAGGGCTCTTAGCTGGCAGGTGCCTCTAACTAGCCCTGCTCTTACCTAATTAGGGATGCACAGGAAAGGATCTTGGAAGGTGGAGAGGCTGGAAGATAGCTTGGTTTATGGAGAAATTTAACTACAGCTGTGGTTAGGTGGTTGACTGGGCTTTGGCTTGCTTTTTAATATGAACCCTTATGCACATATTTGAAAAATAATGTCTGCTTGTTTACTTTCTTTCTTAAAGGCTGAAACTGTTACACACATAAACCACAACCTGAATCATCTCATCCTGTTTCTGCAACCAAGGAAGTCATCATTCATTGTGACATCACGTTCAGGGACCAGGCAAATAGAGGTGAGGTCACAACATAGGAAAGTTGCTTGGTGTATAATTAGTGTGGGGAGTACAGTGGGGTGGATTACAATGCACAAATTCTAATCCATAGCCTATAATTTGAGGGTTGGGTCAATCATAATCTGGGTGCAAGCACACCTACTTCCTTTTTTAATAAGGGAGAATATAGCTCTTGTTGCCCACAAGAGTTCTGAAAGTAGAAAATAATAAACCATATTCTTGAAGCCAGTACTAAATTATCAAAGCTGAAGGACGGGAAGCTAAAGAAAGATAGGCAACTTGGGGTACAAATGGGTTCAAAATCCTCTCCGTCAGTATGACAAGTCTCTGGATACCAGTGACTTATTTGCCTTGGGGTGAGAGAAAACTCCATTTTCCATCAAGCTGGAGAAGCAGCCTTCGTTCTTCAGTCATGGATAAGGCTGCCACATTCAGGCCACTTATTAGGAAGTTAACAAGAAGATAAGACTACTCCTGTCACTAGTGACTAAACACGGCTCAGTAAGTTAACACACCTCTTCTGCCCATTTCAGCAGCCCATGTTTGGATTTTTAGGCCCTACTGGATTCCAAACAGTCACCATGGGAAGAGTGGGGTGATTCCAGGGCTGGAAGAGACAAGAAGAAGGGACAAGAATGCCTTCAGGGCTAGGCCGTCTGAGCTCTAGCATATCAGTGCTCTGGATCAGGCTTTCTGGACAGTCTTCAGAAAGCAGCATTATTACCTTTCGGCGAACAGTGCACCGGTGACACATCCACTCTCCAGGAGGCAACATTTCTTCACTCAGTGGAGGGTTACTGTGGGGAACAGACAAGGGCAAGACTAAGTAACTAGCCCTTTGAGGCAGTAGGAAAAGCCTAGCTAGGTTTGCATGTTCCTAAACTCCTATTGTGGCCAGTTCTGCAGGACTGCTAGGGTTGTCTCCTCCTTCAAAATGCCTAAGTCAGCATCACTCATAATAACCTAAGGAGTGAGCATCCCTTCCCACGCCTTAGAGACAGAAGCCAAATCCAGAGCTATTAACACTGGGTTTAAGGTGTAATAACCCAGTGTTAGGGAAAGGTATAATAAAATACCTGAGAGGTCCTCCACACTGTTTTCTTAAAGCCTGTTAGTATAGGGCCAAGCTTTTCTAACTGCTGTTCAAAGCCCTGTCACATGTACCCATTCCATCTTCCCAGACCCCTTCAGGTGCTCTTCCCACTAATCAAATGGAAGACTTCCTATTTCTTCCTCTAGAATACCCTTCCTTTAGAAAGCTATGCCTGTCAAAACTCTATTCATCCTTTCATAGCTGCCTTAATCAGCTGTGATGGATTAAAGACAGCTGCAAATTATTTGCTCTGCCTCCCATCCACAGGTAGTCCCTTTCCCTCCTCTTGAATTGTGCTTGTCTTATGACTTGCTTTGATCACAGACTGCAGCAGAGGTGACAATGTTGCAACTTCCAAAGCTGGGCCTTAAGAGATCTGCAGATTCTACTTTTTAAAAAATATGCTTGGAAAGTTCCATCTTAGAGCCCTGCTGTCATGCTATGAGAGAGGACATGGAGGAGACAAGGTATTCCAATCAACAGTTTTAGGTCGGGTGCGGTGACTCACACCTGGAATCCCAGCACTTTGGGAGGCTGAGGCTGGTGGATCACTTGAGGTTAGGAGTTCAAGATCAGCCTGGCCAACATGGCAAAACCCCATCTCTACTAAAAATATAAAAATTAGTCAGGTATGGTGGCACATGCCTGTAATCCCAGCTATTTGGGAGGCTGAGGCAGAAGAATTGCTTGAACCTGGGAGGTGGAGGTTACAGTGAGCCAAGATCGCACCACTGCACTCTAGCCTGGGCAACAGAGCGAAACTCCATCTTGAGAAAACAAAAAACAAAAAAACAGCTTCAGCTGAACTCCAAGCCAACACACAGCAGCAACTACTGCTATGTGAGTGAGTCATGGTATGTGATATACCAGTTCAGTGAAGCCTCCAAATGACTGCAGTCCCAGCCAACATCATGTGAAACAGAAAAACCACCCAGCAGAGCCCAGGCAACCCTCAGAACTGTGAGAGATAATAACGAGTTTCTATACCAGGCCACTGAGTTTTGGTGTTGTTTGTTATGCAACAATAGATAACCAAACAGCTTTTCCATGAGTTCATATTACTCCTGTATCTTGGACCTCTTGCTGCATCGTTTAGTTCTCTTTTGGCACTTCTCATGCTTTGCCCATTTCAGTAGTTCTCTTATTTATTTTATTAGAGGGACTAGGACAATGATTGGATCTCTCCCCTCCTTGTATCTTTATAATATAGAGGTTGTGCACACAGCGGATCACCTGAAATCGGAAGTTCGAGACCAGTCTGGCTAACATGGTGAAACCCCATCTCTACTAAAAATACAAAAATTAGCTGGGCGTGGTGGTGGGCACCTGTAATCCCAGCTACTTGGGAGGCTGAGGTAGGAGAATCCTTTGAACGCAGGAGGCGGAAGTTGCAGTAAGCTGAGATTACATCATTGCATTCCAGCCTGGGCAACAAGAGTGAAACTCCATCTCAAAACAAACAAACAAACAAACAAACAACCAAAAAACAGGCCAGGAATGATGGCTTAAGCCTGTAATCCCAGCACTTTGGGAGGCCGAGGCAGGCGGAACACGAGGTCAGGAGTTTGAGAACAGACTGGCCAACATGGTGAAATCCTGTCTCTACTAATAATACAAAAATTAGCTGGGCGTGGTGGCGCGCACCTGTAGTCCCAGCTACTCAGGAGGCTGAGGCAGGAGAATGGCTTGAACCTGGGAAGCAGAGGTTGCAGTGAGCCGAGATAGTGCCACTGCACTCCAGCCTGGGCGACAGAGCGAGACTCCGTCTCAAAAACAAAAAACAAAACAGACTACATCTATGCTTAAGAAATTCCTATCTTTGATGCCGGGCGCAGTGGCTCACGCCTGTAACCCCAGCACTTTGGGAGGTGGAGGCGGGTGGATCACCTGAGGTCGAGAGTTCAAGACCAGCCTGACCAACATGGAGAAACCCCATCTCTACTAAAAATACAAAATTAGCTGGGCATGGTGGCACACACCTGTAATCCCAGCTACTCAGGAGGCTGAGGCAGGAGAACCACTTGAACTGAGAAGGCAGAGGTTACGCTGAGCCGAGATCATGCCATTACACTCCAGCCTGGGCAACAAGAGTGAAACTCTGTCTCGAAAAAAAAAAAGAAATTCCTATCTTTGGGTTCTTGGTTAAGTAACCTACTTGGAATGGTATGCAGGAAATTTTTCTTCGAAGAATGGGAGAAATAGTAAAACAAACAAACAAACAAAAAAACAAAAACAAAAACCAAACTTGAGTATTTTTACTATACAAGGACTCTCCTTATTTTCTCAGCACTTAAAGTTATGCTGTTTTACCATTTCTACATAAAATAGCACTTGACTTGGCAAATTTTCTTAGCTCCCTGTTTCCCCAGAGCCCTAAGCATACACGTCAGATGCCCATCAAGGCTTCACAGCTCATTACTTCCCTTGCTTCCTGTTTCCTTAGTGAAATCTCAGGAAGATGCTTACCAGGAATCAAGAAACTGGAAAACCAATGGCCTGCTAGGACAGGTCTCCAAGCCCTAGAGGATCACAGGTGAATGTCACCTGTAAGTCTCCGCTCATTCTCGCCAATGTAATTCTGCAAAAGGCCATATCTAAACTACTGAAATGCATGCAAGTAATTTTCAAAGGCCTACAGACTCTGCTATGCTTCAGTAGCTGTCCTATCAAAATTAACCCTGAAGGGTGTCACTTCTGATTCTGTTTCTCATCACTTCTGTTCATCTGCCCACTGGCTTTGTACCAAGATATCCTACATCAAACATTTAAAGTAGAGAAGAGTAAGGTAAGGTGGAATGGGGTTAGATCTTTCACCAAGACGTGAATGGTCTCTCGGCTACCCTTCAGGCTTTCCTCAATCTATTCTCAACCTTGCTGGCAGAATGATTATCCAAGATACAATTCTCATCATATCACTCTCCTGATTTAAAAGCCCTTCAATGATGCTCCTCCCCGACCCATTACAAGATAAAGTTCAAGCTCCTCAGTATTGAAGATAAGACCCCTGTGGCCAGAACCCTCTTCTTTCTCCAGCTCGATCAGTTGGCCGGCTCCCTACACAGCCCATACTGTTTCTCATCTGTTGTCTCTGCTTACTCCAGGGCTACTACCCACAACTACATCACTCTTCCCCAACTGCTTCACCTGGTAAACTCTTTATCTTTTGAGACTCAAGTCAGGTATTCTTTCCAGAAAGCTTTCTCTGAAAGTCTCTGGCTCGCCAGAGTACTTCTGCACCACGCTGTATTCAAACTATTACATGTCTGAATCCCCTTCTCCATGCCTCATTTGCCTTTGTACCCCCACACCCTGTACAATGCCTGGCATGTAGTAGGTACTCAATAAAGCTTTAAAGACTGGGGAACACTAAAGAATGGGCTTCTAGGAAGTGAGTGTAATCCTTCAAAGCTATGAAGCAAGGTAATGCAACTGGGCAGGCATCTGTTTTGTTGGTTAAGTCACACATGTAATTACTTATGTTTTCTAAGTTACCAACCAATGAGATGAAACAGGAGTCCAAGTCCATACTGGCAAACCTGAACTTATTGAACCATCCCACCTCTACTCATTTTAATCTTCTTTAAACAATTTGATTTTTAATCTCGTTTATCTTAACACAGGGGTAAAATGCTTAAAACTTGTATTAAGAGGCTCTCAGAAGTAGCATCTTGCTGGTTTATTTTCTTTTTTCCTTTTTTTGAGACGGAGTTTCGCTCTTATTTCCCAAGCTGGAGTGCAATGGCGCGATCTCGGCTCACCGCAGGTTCAAGTGCTTCCCCTGCCTCAGCTTCCCGATTACAGGCATGCACCACCACGCCTGGTTAATTTTATATTTTTAGTACAGATGGGGTTTCTCTATGTTAGTCAGGCTGGTCTCGAACTCCTGACCTCACGTGATCTGCCCGCCTCGGCCTCCCAAAGTGCTGGGATTACAGGCATGAGCCACCACGCCTGGGCATATCTTGCTGGTTTCTAAAGGATCACTTTTAGAGTTACCAAGTTTAAGAACACACCTCTGGCCGGGTGACATGGTGAAACCCCGCCTCTACTAAAAATACAAAAAATTAGCCAGGTGAGGTAGCATGCGCCTCCAGCCCCAGCTACTTGTGAGGCTGAGGTGGGAGGATCACCTGAGCCTGGGAGGTAGAGGCTACAGTGAGCTGTGATCGTGCCACTGCACTCCAGCTTGGGCAATGGAGTGAGACCCTGTCTCAAAAATAACAACAAAAAACAAACAAAGAAAACCACACATTTCTCAGAATTCTAGATAATGACCATAGGCTCCTTTTGTTAAGTCTGCCCTAAAGTATGGATAGGGGTTATGAATTTAGGGAGTAGTCCAGGGAAACCCAAGCATTGTCTCCCAGATGAAGACAAAACATTTAAAAGACTGAGGCCATCCTTCCAAAATTTTTTTCTTTTTGAGATGAAGTCTTGCTCTGTCGCCCAGGCTAGAGTGCAGTGGCGTGATCTCAGCTCACAGCAAGCTCCGCCTCCCAGGTTCACACCATTCTCCAGCCTCAGCCTCCCAAGTAGCTGGGATTACAGGCGCCTGCCACCACACCCGGATAATTTTATTTATTTATTTA